GATTGAGCATGGATCAAGATATTTTATGCAGTGTTGTTGTGTTGTTTGTTAGGTTACATGTTCAGGTTTTATTCTAAAGGGTTATATAACACCAATATTAACAAAAGAAAGGAACAAGCATGGAGAGTAAGAGTTGTGATTAAAACTTTGATTCCTACTAAAATTTCCAAAAAATTATGTTGTTTTTTCCTTCTGTAAACTTTGTTTTGAGCTGATGAAATACTCAGAGGTATAAAAGTCCCCTGATTAGTCATTTAAGCACATTAATTATTTAATTGCTTTTTTAAGGTTGGCAGTAAATAATGGTGTAATAATGCCTCCTGTTGGCATCATTAAGCTTAATGAAGTGGGTGTTGTGTGTATCCCTGTAGGGACAAAGTGTAAGTTTAACAAGCACAAACAAGTACGAATGGAGAAAACTTTAGTCTTCACTGCTTTTCCTGAAGACTTTCCCTACATCTTAAAGATCTGAACTTGTTAACAATAATAAATAATTTGAAGTAAATAAATAAATGTTAAAGATCTTAATTTATAATACAGTTTGCAAAAAAATGAAAAGCTTGGATACTTACAGTATATTTTATTATTAAGTAATGTATAGCAGCGGTCCCCAACCCCCGGGCCTCGGACCGGTACTGGTCCGTGAGTCGTTTGGTACCGGGCCGCGAGAGTTGAGGCTCAGGTGTGAAATGTATAGTTTTCAGGGTTTTTATCGGTTTTCAGCGTTATTTTGTTATCGTTTTTATCGTTTACTCGGTTTTCCTGGGTCTTTTCACGTGTGTTATGAATAAATTTTCTTTTTTTCGGTACCGGTACTAGTTTTATTTTGTTGTATTTATCCGCGACACCTTAAAGGCCGGTCTGTGAAAATATTGTCGGGCATAAACCGGTGCGTGGCGCAAAAAAGGTTGAGACCGCTGATGTATAGTGTAGTTTTCTTTAAAACACCTTAAAGTTAAATACTGCACAAGTTCAAGCGACACAGCAGTTAAAGTGCCTAAAATTAATATGAATACACATTATGACTATGATAGCATAAGACTCATATGTGACGCTCTAGCCAAAGTAA